TTTTAACAATTTTGTCCAAATATGATCTAATGAATTGCGTTTTGCACATGATTAAATTTGTATACTTTTCGATTTTTCACTGAAATTATATAATTTTAAATAATTAATTACTTCTAAAATATTTTTATTATATTTACAAAAAGTAAAATAATATTTAATTTATAAAAATTTTATTAAAATTTTAATTATGTTTAAGTTAGATACTAACCTAACTTTTATATATATATATATATATATATATATATACACATTATATATATATATATGTAAGATGACAGGAAGTTCTTATTTATCGAAATATTATTTATTTACTTATTATTTATAAAAATGAAATAAATATAAATATAGAATGTAGATAAAATAGTATCCAATGCAAATATTTAATATATTTTATTAAACTATATCAATTTAAGAAACTTTTACTTATTTATTTACTTATTATTTATAAACGTGTGAAATAAAAATTAATAAATTTTATTAGAATGCAGATAAAATAATATTCAATACAAATATTTTCATTAAATTTTATTCATTTTCTAATCATTATGCAAAATAGAGCAAAACTCTGATTATTTTGAATGTTTATCACTTTTAAAAATATTGAAAAATTTTTTAATATAAAAATTGTATGAAATCGATGCAAAAGTTATAGAATTTATTAAAACATTTCTAGAAATAAAAAAATAATAATTTTTAAAAAATGAGAATGACTTTAATTTTGAAATATCCAAAAATCTTACATTTATAAAAAAATTATTATAGTCGCATTATAGCTCTCTTTAAATTGACAAATTTTATATAAAAAAATTTTTAATATCTTTAAAAATTATGAAAATATTCAAAATGCTCTATTCTATTTATATATATACATAAGTTTTAATTTTTATTTACGATATAAAATAATTAAAATAAAACCAAAAAAATGCAAATATAGATATAAATAGTAATTTATTTTTCATTATAAATATATATAATAAAAATAAATATTATCATCATATCCCTTATAAGTTAAAATAAATTAAAATAATTTAGGTTTATTTTGAAAATAAATCTAAATTAAATTGATAGGTAATCCTTCTTTATTTAAAAGATGATCCTTAGAATCATTTAAATATTTAGGACCATCACTAATTTTAGTATAAATAATATATTTAAAACATCCTGGAGATTGTTTTCTTACATTAATATTATTGAATAGCTCCTAAAACAAAATCAAATGTTATTAATCATCAAATAAGATATGATTATTACATAAAAATGATACAATATTTATTATTATTAATATTACACAAAGATGATAATATTTACTAGTGAATGTACAACTTTTTTAACAGGTAAACCTTTCCTATATTCCTCTAAATTAGTTGTTGTAGGGAAAAAATAATCTAATACTCCTAAAAATTCTGTTACATTTTCTTCTAAAAGATATAAAGTTGCATTTGGTCCTGCATCAAAAGTATATGCAACCTAAAATGAATAAATATATAACATGTTTTATCAAAATTTTAATATAAATTTCAATATAAATTTTAATAGCTTATATTACTTATTACTATTTATTGATTTATTAAAAACTTAAAAAAATACCTTTATTTCTTTCACGGTTTCATTATAAGCATGAATCAAATTAACAATAGCATGTGAAATATCATTCATATAGACACATGGTGGATATGTATCTAAACAAGCTGCATGCATTTGATTTGAATCTTTCATTGTATGTTCAGCAAATGTTTTAAAATCTTTCTGTAGAATAGCCTGTTCAATACTTTTCACTCTATCAGGAACAAGATGTTTTACTCTAAAATTCAGAAAATCAGATGTTTCCATACCTCTTTTCATTCCAATTGCACTGGAAACATTTTTCTTTGCTTCATTTACCTATTATAAAATATTAAATGTAATGGAAAATATAGTATAAAAAATAATAAAATCAAAAATAATACATACAACTAATATTAAAATTCTCATTTCTGGCCAATAACTAGCAGGTACAATTTGTTTTGCTATACTATCAGTCCCATCTATTTGAGAACCCATATACCATCTTACAAAACCTCCTAAAATACTGCGACATGCTGATCCAGAACCAACACGAGCTATTGCAGTAATATCATCCTAGAAATTAATATTGATATATATAAAATTCAATTAATTTTGCATATTATAAAATTTATAATTATTTATTTTGAAATACCTTTACTTCATATAATTTAGCAAGTGCTATTACAAGGCAAGCATAACCTGCAGCACTGGAAGCTAAACCAGCTGAAGTTGGAAAATTATTTTCTGAACAAATATGAATTTTCCATTGATTCATATGATTGGAATTTCCTGCTCTTTTTTTAACTAAAATATAATATATTTTATTTTCTGAAGAAAAATTTAAAAACTTTAATATAATTACATACTTTCTGTTAAACAATTTTGCAATCTAATATTCTTAATATCTTCTTCTCTGAAACATTAAATTTATAATATTTTGAAATTTTTTTAATTCTTATTTTTATTCTTAAAATTTTTTATAATAAATATATTTACCGTCCATTTAACCATATACGATCGTGTTTAAAATTTGGACTAATCATCACAGTAGTTTTTGCACACAACTAAAATTTAAAATAAGTGATTAAAATATATTACTTATATTTTATCTTATAAATATTAGTAATTTTTACATGATCAGTATCTAAAGTAGCGCTAATGGAATCATTTGCTGGCAATATTAACGTTTCGTCTCTTTTACCCCCTGTAAAAAAAACATTATATAGTGCTTTGAAAAATTCTATTCAAATTCAAATAATCAAGGAAGTTATATACATTTCAATGATATATGTACATGTACTTCTATAATATTTCGAATGTCTACATTTCTTCCATATATAAAACAATTAATACGAAAATAAAAATAAGATTTTCTAAAAAAAAAATAAAATATTTTATTATTATTAATTTAAATGCGATTATTTGAATAAAAATATTAAATATTGCAAATAAATTCTGCTGTTATTCAATTTATCTAGTTGATCTATATAATAAATAATATTTATATATAATTATTAATAAAAAAAATAAAAAAAAATACATACAATATTTTACAACGGCAATATTAATAGGTGCGATACAAGTAACGATATTCATTTTTCTAATTTTTTTTCACTTCCTTTCTATCACTTATGCTATCGTATGTCATATAATTTCCTTCGAGTTTGTGCATAATATTTATATTCGAAAAACATAAACTATTTATAATCTAGATTGGCGATCATATAGTTCAATTTGTTTAACTTATTTTTTATTTATATTTTGTTCTTTATTTTATTTCTTCACTTTGCAATAACAAAATTTTAAATTTTTATCTTGAAATTATATTTTCTTATCAAAATATTTTCAAATGACATAATAAGTTTATGTATTAGTAAAAAATTTTCACTTTTACGAAATTTTAATTTTTTGTTTTTTAATACTACATTTTTGTTCATTTTATTTCTGTTTTATTTTAAAAATTTTATTAATTTATTTTTATAAATTGATTATTCGATATTATTATTCGATATTCAAGAATAAAAAATATTAACTTATTACATCGATATTATCGACAATACGTTTCCTTATTTTCTCAATAGATGTCATTGCTTTCTGATTACATTCCCGCTTCATGCTCGAGAGCAATACTTGAGCCAGCCGGTTTTCAGTGTGATGCCGGTTGCGTCGACAGTGGGGGAGATTTGCACGATCCTCAGAGGGCTGATCGTATCACGATTTCACACGGCGGGTATAGTACATATTCAAAGCGCGCGCTTGTTTTTTATGATCGGACAATCAGAACAGCGAAAAATGCAATGCATCAAGAAATATTGTAAGTGTTGTGCAAAATTATAAAACGAAAATCACCAAATAGAACAAAGAATTGAAAAACATGGTGAGATAAACGTGATCTATAAAGTGTATCGTGTATATTCAATGTTATTAAGAAACGGTGCAGATATAGTGGTGCAATTCGAATGATTATATCCGCATCCCTTCCTTATTATTTTGCACATTCCATTGGTGAAGTTGTACGTTGTCGTTTCCTTTCTCTGAATAGTTCGAATTAGCACGCGGTCATCTCGGTTCGCGTACCAAAGAAACTTACGAGTTCTTGCGTTCACCGTGAAAAGAACAACGATCAAGAAGAAAAAGAAAAGAAAAGGACGAAAGAAGAAAGAAGAAGAGAGTAAAGCCAATGGAGCTGGTAGTACATACATGCATGATGATCAAATGATCGCATTATGTCGAATAAAATCGCGATATAAAGGTATTCCTGTAGAATATCTTGTGAGTTACATTAACCGAATCATTCTGTCATCTGTTTCAAAGAAGAGAGAGGTCGGTGGTTCTGTGTATTAGTGTACAATCGCGCCATGGGGCATCAGTGTTGGTTCTTCACAAACGACGGGACCTGAATGTGTGCATATTTCTCCTGGCTGACTGGCCTGCCTTCCACCGTTAAGCTGCATTCACAAAGGAAGCCGATTTTTGGGCAAGGACCGTATCTCGGTCGTTCTTGCCAAAAGTACGAATCGAACCGGTTAATGAGGACTATCTGGCTTCGATCGTCCAATCAGCTAGCAGGTAAGATCTCCATTAATGAGAATATCGATATTCACTTACACATAAAACTAATTGAATTTTATCCGTTTTCCAAAAGCAAACAGAAAAGATTAAATTTATTTTATTTTTGATATTTATCTTCTATTAAAATCCTCTTATCATAATTTGATATCTTTTTATTTCAACAGTTTTCATAATTTAATTGAATTAATGATTAATTATAAAAATTTCAAAGAATTCACTTGATTATTGGTGTCAATATGGGTGAATTTAAATCTAAACATATATCGATTTTTTTCGAATAATTTAAATAAAACTTATATTTGTATATCTTACAATAAAAATGATTAACTTATATATATTTGGTTTTCAATTTTTTTTATTCGCGTCTGTTTTGTTTTTAGTTCTCCTTTCTGCGTCTTTCGAATAAGAAATATATATCGCGCTATAAATCATGAAAATCAATGGATTTCGCACTGAAATTAATGACTCGTGCGAAAGTAGCGGGATATATGCTCACAGGCCGTAAAACGCGTTCAATAGCACGTGGGGTGACTAAATGAGATCCTCCACTTTGACTCAGTTTCCAATGGATCCATAATCTACTTATCAAGCAATATTTATAAATAGTGAATATTGACTTGTATGATATGATTTTATATGATTTTGTCATAAAAATAATTTTTCTATCAATTATGATAAATCGCCTTGTATGTTAATTCTAATTATTATTTTATTTTTTTCTATATAAAGTTGCATTTATTTTATTCAAGTCAAAATATCTCCTTTCTATGTGTAATCAAAGAAATTTAATGTAAATTTATCTTTAGTAATATTGTTTTATGTAATTTTTTGTGATTATTTAGAAAAATTAGTGAGAAATTTATCGATTTCATATATATATAAAGATTATACATAAAGAATTATATTTTCTTTTCGGATTTTATTCACAGTGGATGTCGCATTATAGCAAATCAGAGAGACGAAATTGTATGCGGTACGCGTTTACCGTTCCATAGTTATTGCTGCTATAGGTGGACGCGAGTTGCAGCTATATGAACAGTCTCTTTGTTCAATCACGCTTGTGTGAACGCTAGCTTAATTCAGGTGTGCACAAAGTTGCATCCTTCAACGATATTTGAACTTTCTGTTTCGTATAACTTATCTATTCTTTAATTATCATCTTTTTCAAAGTTTTTTTATAATTTTTTTATATTGTCTATTAAGACATATTTAAGATATAATTAATTCTAAAAATTAGTTTATATATGTGTAAAGAAATTTAATAAAAAATAATTTATTAAAAATAAATGTGAAAATACTACGAATCTATAACTTTTTTTAGAATTATTTATTCGAGCATTAAAAAATCATTCATAGTAAATGTTTGTTATGATACGGAGAAAAAAGTGAACATTTAATGCAAATTTTATTTTCTTTGTAAATTTTAATTCAGATTTTCTGCAGAAGATATCTAAATAACATATTTGATGATTATGATTTTGATGATTATGCAAATTTTTATATATTTATGATGATAACAATTAAATAGTAATAGATATTGTAAATTTATTTATTAGTTTTAATATTTAATATTTTAAACAGGAGATTGTTAATTAATAAATATCACAAAAATTTAAAAATTTATTAATATTCATTAATATTCATTATCTTTTTTTATTTTCTTTTTAAGTTTTCTATACAAAAATTGAATAGACATTTTATTTAGACAATCAAATTCATAACAAATTCCAATGATTTTCTTCTAAGAAATAAACTTAGACAATCCTTTCCAAGAAATAGTTTCTAGTCGGAGATAGTGTCAGAAACTGTTACGGTTTCTTTTCTTTTGTCTGTAGATATTAGTGGTCTGTTAAAATGAATATAATAAAATTGCTTCCTATTCCAACGGGTTTCCTTAATCTGTTCCTATAATTCATAAAACTTTATCGTTAAAGATTTTTTGCTGAATAAATAAAACAGCTTTCAGAAAGTAAAATATCTTTTTTCATATTTCAGTATTCAATATTTAAATTTTAATATATCATCAATTCAAAAAAATATATTAATATAATATTAATACAATATTTGTATTAATAACTTATAAAGAAAAAAATTAATTTCATTTAAACCTATCACTAGCATTTCTATAATACATATGCATATATTTATTCTTTGTTTTCTTTTTAATATCCTAATAGTATTTGCGTTTCATTAATAGAATAAAATAATTAATGTACTTTGATAAATTAACTTTTTCACGCTTTGCAAATTTGATATATATGTAGTTCAAGTAGATAAATAATTCTATAGATACATGTATATTTTTTTGCTAATAGTATGGAAGAATACTTAGATAAAACCATATGTAGCAAAATCGCTAGATGGCCTTACGTGGTCTGTAAATTCGTTTACAAACGGACTTAGTGAACCGAATAATTTAAGTTCGAAAAATAACCACGGTCTATCCTACTTATAAGATTCTATCGGTTTCTTTTTTACCTTTGCTCTTTTGTTTTTTTGTTTTTTTCCTTCATTTCATCCCTATGGTTTCAAGGCTTTCTATAACGAATGTGATTATAAAATTATTATTAGAAAAGTAGAATATAGATTTAATAAAGAAAAATTGTTATTAAAGATAATTTATTTTTTTTATTATCAATTTTTTATTATCAATTTTTATGCTTGAATGCTTTTAAATTCTTATTTATTTTCATTTAATATAATATAATTATAATATAATATAATATAATAACATATAATTAAAAATAATAATAAATAATATAATAACATATAATTTTTCGAGATAGTTAAAAATAATGTAAATTATTTTGAATTCTTTTTTATCTCTTGATTTAAAAATATTTGATGTTTTTCATTAAAAAAATTTTAATGAATTTATGTAACTTCCGTGATTCCAATCATTTTTTCAATTATTATTTTGACGTAAATTCAATGAATTTTAATTCAATATATTTTTTTCTTTTATTATGATATAATTGTTGACTAATATTTGATAATCTACAATATAATATATATCCTTATTACATTATATTATATTATATGCATATATACATACAGTGGAACTTTTATATTTATTATTAATCTGTTTCTAAAAAATATTGAATATCGAATTGGGCGAATATTAAAGTTAATTTTTTTTTATAAAAATTAACAAAAAATGAAATAATTAATTTTCAGTTGAATCAATAAATAAATAAAAATTTAAAATTTATTGAGGAGCGGTGATTGCAGAAAATTAATAAAATAAAAAATTTTTTAATGATAAATATAAAGATTCCACTATATATATATATTTTTTTTGTTATTTTCTTTGACTGTTAATAATTTAAGTGCAACATGCTGCACGTGCTATGTAATTGGTCTAGAGGCAGCGCAGTCGAGCATGATTTTGTTCTCGCGGGCTAATGGAATTACCGCCATGATAAAATCTTGGCAAGTGGACTGTACGATTGATATACTAGACTTCTTTGCCCTTTTCTCTCTTCTTTTTCTTTCTTTCTCGCTTACCTTGCGGAATCGTTCCTTCCCTCGAAGTTTTATTTCTCATAGTCTCACGCAAGAGATCTTAGGATTTCTTCCAACCCTCCAGCAAGTAATTTTTATGAGTCTGTATATCCTTTCGATATACTTTGAGGTGTTCGTGTAACGAATAGTTTTCGAAGGGGTCGAGAATACGAGGGATATGATTAGGTTTATTAAAGATTTATTAAAGGAGAATATGAGAGATGATGTGTAAAATGCAATAAATTTTTAAATTTTCATTATTATCCGTCGTGAGTTATAATCATGCACGCGATTTCGAGTGATTCAGAATCTGTCTATTCTATGCGACTTAAATTTAACAAAAGAAAATTATATTCTTATATCGAAGTCATTTTTCTTCTTTTTCAAAAGGCTTTGTAATAAAGATATCGTTTTTTAAGATTTAGTTTTGTTAGATGTATTGAACAGGGATGGAAAAAGAAAAATTAATTTATTATATTTATACAACATTATTCTTGAGTAAATTTTTAATCATTTATTTTGTAATAATTTACATAAAAAATGAAATTGATTAAAAATTATTATAATCTAATCTAATATGCAATATATGATTAAATAATTTAAATATAATTTAAAAAAATTAGTTTCTTTTATTTGAAAGATTTTCTAAAATAAATTTTTTCAAAATTTATAATAGTTTAATTCAAAATAATCCTTTGTTTTTTATCAAATTTAAAAAATATGTAATGTTATTAAATTAATTAACTAATATTTTAAGATATATTCAATTTATATACAATTCTGTATCATTTTCCTTATAAAAAAACTAAAATTATTATTATAATATATTAACATAATAAGTTTAGTTTTATTACAATTATTTATTTTTCAAATCTAATAGAATTGAAAGATATATATGTGCAAACAGAAAATCAAAAGGAAGCTTTCATGATAAAGGACAAGCCACCTGGCAATTCTTTGTCATGAATGAAAGGCAACCAATCAGAAGGAAACTTGTGCTTCGACACAGGCATAGCAAATCGGCCTCGATGCTATCTTGAAGCTTCGAGCATATACTTTTTGTTCATTCGAGTGCACAACTCGATCAAAAAACGTCAACCATGCTCATAGCTGACCTTGGTTCATGCTACAGCATATGGATGAATAGGCTCTATCTATCATTCAATTCTTAAATTTTTTTTATTTTGAATAAATTATTTAAGAATTGTGTATATATACATTATATATATATATATATAGTTGTATATAATGTATATTTTCAATAACAGTTCAAATCAATAATTTGAAAAGAATAAATATGATAGAATATCGATACCCATAGTTTATGATATTGAAGAATTTAGTTGTGATTTATTGTTAATAGATTATCTAGATTCATTTTGATTGATTGGATTTTAGGAATTTGAAACAGAGAGAAATGTAATATAATTTCATTGTACACAATGTAAAATTTCTTAGAAAAAATAAATGCATATATCTGGATATATTATTTTTAATTGATATTATTCACTCTAAATCTAAAAAAATGAATACTAATACTAGAAGTACTATAAAAATAGTAGATTTAAAGATATTACAAGATTTGTTCTGTTTATAGATTGGCAAATTATAGACTATTGATCTATAAATTATGGTGTTGAATGAATATTTATTTATGCTAATAGAAATAACAAGCAATAGAAGGATTTTTATTATTAAATGTTTTTAATTATCAATCAGATAATTATAAACCTTCTATAGTTAAAAGAATCAAAGCAAAATATTTGAACAGATGCATTGATAAATATAGAAATGCTAGTATGATAATCTAAAGAGAATTTGTTTTATCTATTTTTTAGTGTCAATAATAGCACTAATTTAATATAATTTTCTTGATGAAAATGAGATTAAATATGATTTCAGCTGGATTATTTATAATTTAATTTAGAAAATTTATAATTATCTGAGTTAATAATATTGATCTCTTTTGTAATTATTTTAACATAAAATTTTATTAATAATATAAATCTTTTTTCTTTAAATATCAAATTTTTAACATTTTCTATATTATTATTGTACAGTAAATTAATTTTCGGATCTCAAATGATTTAACCATAGTTGAATAAGGATGAAGGTATTAGGATAACCTATATTCTTTATCTCTTCAATTTTATCGTCAATAGAAATATTATCTATATATCTCAGATATAAAATTTTTTCTTTTAAATAGAATGTCAAGAAGATTAATAGGAAGGTAGCTACATAAAGATCTTCCGACATTGATTTCCTGTCGAAACTTAGCTACACGATTTCCTGTCTGTTAGTCAGCAAGATGAAAATCTATGTCACGATGATTATAGATATTTCTACTTTAACAAATATGATAAATATTTGACAGTTTCTATATATATAAATTTGATACTTCATAAAGAGAACAAAATATCATTTTTTTTTCTTGGTATAACATTCTAATAGAATAAACAAACAAAATTTATAATATATAAAATTAACAAAATATTCTATAAATTTATATTTTTTTTATTGTTAATATATACGATAAAAATATTAAAAAATAATATCTCTCGGCTCAATGATTAAACGATTATTTATTTTTTCATTAAAAATTTTACAATTCAAGAATAATATCGAGTGATAATACGTAATGTTTCAGCTAGACTGGACGAGCATAATCGGATGAAGTTGGGCCAAGCATGCCCTCTAAGAAGCAATATAATCTCGTACATAATGACGAGTACGACACGAGGATACCACTGCACAGTGAAGAGGCATTCCACCGTGGAATTGTCTTCCATGCCAAGGTAATCATCGTTAAATACTTTCCAATTTTCTACGTCAACATTGCCTAAATGCGTGGTTGTTTTAACCTTTCCCCATTTCTCATCGTTTCCAGAGAAACCACGCAATACTAAAGCAACGCTCGTATTACGTGTATAACGTTTAATTGTGAGTTTCGATTATAGGTAACCCTAGATGTCACCATATTCTATCGATATTGGCATTGGTCGTTTTAATTTAAGAACTCGTTATATCGGGAAGGCTATTATAATGCGTCATATATCTTGAAGTCCTTGTATCAAATATATATAAATTTATTTTGAATTTGCAGCAAATACAATTTATGATTTTTTTTTTCAATTTTTTATCATCTACGAATATTTATGACTTCTTTAAACTTTTCGATAGAAACAATGAATAGTCCAGTCATGCGCAAACAATTTTAAATCATTTCCTGTACAATAATGCCTGAGAAAACGTAACTGGAAAATGACTAAAGAATTTCCTTATTTATTCGAAACCGGATTCTGTTAAAACTTGTACAGAGTGACTCTCTCTGCTAAAAAGCAATCAATCCAATCATAATATTATTAGAAAGAACGGTAAAATGTGAAATATTTTTTGATATTGAATATTATGATCAAATGAATTGCGGTTGTCTAATAGAAAAGAAATGTTATATATATATAATGTTATAATTTTAATCTTCATAATAAATCAAGAACAAGATTATCAAAAATTATTCAGATTTAAGATTATCATATTTTAGATTTATAGAATTATATTTTAAGAGATAAAAGGAGAAAAAATAACTAGAGATTAAAATACTCCTCAATTGATTTTTTCTTTCTTTCACTCTTCTTCAAGAATCAGAGTTTGCAATTCTGACAATTTTGAGTTTGAGCTTTTTTTTCATTGTTACACTTTTATTATTATTTAACAAGTATCTTAAAAATATTAAAAACGATTTACAATGTATTTTAATTAAAAATTTAATTTTCATTTTTTTTCAAATCAATCCGAATTAATTCTAAAGAATTGATAAGGAAAAATTGTATTCTGATTTATATTTTCTGAAATTATTATAGTAAAGAATTTTTTATATCGATACAAACGTAATTTCTAAAGAAGAGGCGTGTCCCTTTCAAAATATATTTGCGATTGTTAATTAGTCGTAACATCAACGCAAGATAGTTATTTCGCAGGAAATGAACATTAAAGTTTCGAAATACGATTGGCTAAGAAAAATTGAGCTGAGTTAAAATGAGAATGGAAATAGAAATTGTCTAACGGAACTTTGCATTATATTCTGTGATCATATAGTACAAAGTAGAAAATTCTCTGTTTAATATTTATTTCAATTTCCATTAAACATAGAGCAAATATTTCGATTTCTTTTAATTTAAATTGAAATAAATAAATTTGATTTAAAAATTTTTATTTTTTTTTTTATTTACCTCCGAACAGGGTAAATAGATGCATTCTACAGGGTGATCGAACTTTTATCTTCTAGTGTTTTTCAATTGCATCACGAAATCTTTCGTGTTGATTTTTTTTCAGAAATATTTATAAAACGAATGCTGCTCTAATTTAGTATACAATTTAATTCGTTCAAATAGGTGTATAAAATCATTTATATGAAATATAAAAGAGTATCATTCTATCATAAAAGCGATTTATTTTTTGAATGGCACATCTGCGTTCACAGAATGATATATAACCTATAATAATTGCCAGACTTATATTTTTTTCTAATTTTTAATTTCTAAAAACGTAAGATAAATATATTTAAAAAATGATTTAAATAAAGATTTTCCTTAATTTTTGAAAATATCTTATTGTTCGAGGCAAGATAATTAAATTTTATTTTCTTTTTCAAAAATTAATGATATTTAATAGATAATCTTTAAGACAATTAAAAAAAGTAAATATATGATATAATTTTTTTAATTGATATATCTTGATTTTATTTGAATTATATTATATGTAGTTTTAAGAAGTTTTTGGAAATCAACTACAGAAGAATAAATATTATAATATTATAATAAAACATTTTAAATATAGATATAATCAGAATTCTGTTATTATACGAACAAACATGCTTTTTTTAATAGTATCTCTTTAAAAGTCACGTGACATTACATCTCTCAACGCCGCGAATTTTGAATAATGATATTGACCAATAGCGATCATTCATATAAAGGAAATATCACAAGTTTGTTTCGTTGCTACGAAACGTTATAAATCAATATTCATTCATTTCTTTGAATATTATACGTTTATGAACCTGTATATTTCATGTATTATGATCGATAGAAAAAGTAAAGAAACCTCTAGCCAACTTTCGATCGATGACTGCGTAGTGAATGCAACAATCGCAGTAAGAATGCAACAACGCGACAAAACGGGTATTTTTGATCAGCAACACGACATCGCAATATGGAAAGAGAAACAGTACTGTGACGTCATTGTGCACACGTGTTTATTTGAATCGTGCACGTTCGTTTCTCGGAAAGGTTAAAGCTTTCATGTTCATAAGCTCGTAAAGCAGCTTCGTAAAACGGTCACTTCGCAATGGAAACATCACGGCTATTCGCGGTGTTCTCAAACTGTTCTCTTCCCCTTAACATTTGGTTTTACGCGCTGCGTTCCAGTGCTGATTGCGCCCTCTACAATGCTATATTATTTGAAGAGGAAGTCACATATCAGTAATTTAATTTGTTCAATTTTATTTTATTTCTTTGTTACTTTATTATTATTTTATTTTATTCATCGAATTCAATTTAATGCAATATTTTTCACGTCCATTAAGAAATAATTGCTTCCTTATTTATAAAAATTTTTTTTCTTCTTCTTATATATTTTAATATAGGTTAAACATTTCAGATGTTTTTGCATAATAATCCTTTTTCATGACGTAAAAATTATACGTCATTTTTAATTAATATTATACAAATATTTATAGCTTTGACACGTATGGAATAAGAACAACACACCTTCGAACAGCTATTCTTTGACGTATCTGTTAAAATATTTAAAACGAGACAGGGAAAGAGGGATAGCAGTCGATTGCATTACACTCTGCGATCGATCTCGAATTCGAGTAACTCGATCATTTCTTGCGCGATACGTGGGAGGTAACCACGTGTGCAGAACACGTGGTCAAGCCATCGTTTTAATGGGGAAATTCTAAATACATATGTATACTATATACTATATATATTATATATATTTTAGATATGCATAACGTTTATATATTATATTTAGATTTATACAATTTTGTACAATCTATCTTTAAAGTTTTAAATAAAATCTTGCATGAATTTTTTTTAACAGTGATGGAATACTATATTTTAAAATTTTAACTTTTAATTAATTTAGAATGTTACTGAATTCTGTTACAGAATTAAAAAAAAAAAACAAAAGGAATTAAAATTTCGAATATGATTTCATCTTTTTAAAATAATAATTTTATCGAAAATGAAATATATAATCTATTGTGCTTAATTAGATAAATTTCCTGATACGAAAATATTTGTATCTCATTATAATATTCTTTATTTATTATGATGAATGAAGAAAAAAATATTATCGAAATCTTTCCTTTAATTATTTTATTTACAAAACTTTTCACTGCTTTTGAAGTTGAAAATTTTTTTTGATCTTTTATTAGCATTTTGAAATCGTTAAAGAATCAAAGAAACTATATACGTGTTTCCTTTTAATTCTGATAATTCCTTATTCATGTTTTGATATTCTGTCTTACTATCTATAAACGAGATACAGAATTTCCCTTGATTTAATTCAATAAATCACTGGCCAAATTCAAGCACGTCACTACATTTAGCAAACCTATTTCTGATTATCTGCTTTTGATCTTTAGCGGGCAATTTCTGACCGGCCAGTCGAACTATGTTGGTGTTCCTAAAACAGTAGCAGAAGTCATATGTTCCTTGTATTCATTCGATAAATCCACCTTGTTTTCCATTATGATATTATATTATATTTATTTCTATATTTATATATATATAATAAAATATTTTTCATATTTTTTAATTCTCTATAATAAAATTCTATATTTTTAACTTTTGTAATTTACTTTAAAAATAATCTACCAATTAGAAGATTCTCATAAAAAATAATAAATTTCATGATTTATATCGTCAACACTGAAATTTTTATTCAAATTATTGATATTTTCTACTATATTATCCAATGAAATATACATACAACATAATATATTGTATATATATATACATATATAATAGAATATTTACACTATACAATGAACAAGTTCCTAAAAATTCCCAGTTTCGATAGAAATCTTAATTTCTATGCATGTGCCCGCAAATCAGTGCAATAAAGTAATTAAAAGAAAATCGTATAGGGATTAAGCAAGGTAACTCAAAATATGCCAACTGGTATATGGAAAAGGAACAAGTACGTAATCCACTATCTCTCTCTCTCTCTGATTCTATTTCCTTTGTTCGTTTGCTCGTAGTTCATCGGCTCTATGGAGGTTCCTCGACCGACCAGCCGAGTGGAGATCGTGGCGGCGATGCGAAGAATCCGCGTGAGTTCGCATAATCTGTAATTAAACGTGCGGATGCCCTCGCGGGCCGGAATGGTTCGTTTATTTCAGCCTTATTCTGTCCCCAGTACGAGTTCAAGGCCAAAGGGATCAAAAAGAAGAAAGTGACGCTGGAGGTATCCGTGGACGGGTTGAAAGTCACTCTTCGAAAGAAGAAGGTAATTGTCGTGTACTACTTATCCGACTGGTTTGTTGGCTATTGCGTGTCGTCACGATGAAAATTAGTTTTCTTTCTTTAGACGATTTTTAATTTTTCTTATTTTTCTTTCAATATTGATCCCTATATATGATAGATAGAGATATCGTATTACGTTTGTCGATGTACAATTATTTTCGAAATTTTTTGATTCTCTTTTATAATCTGTTAAGTTAAAGTTTAAAAAAGATAATGATTTATATTTTGAAAAAGAATATTGTGAGTTACGAGAATCATGTAATTTGAATATAAAATATTAAAAAACTATTGTTAAAGAGATCAATTAAGAAATTAATGTATATTTTTACATATCAATTATTTGTAACAATGGATTCTGATTTATTGTGCCGTATTTTTTGGCTTGTTGTATTTGTATATTCCACGATTATATTTAGTTGTATCCATTTTGCAAGAATGATGAATTCTAAAATGAAACATTGCGTGGAAAAAAAACATGTCCGTAGATATTTTGGAAATGAGATGAGAGCCAAATTTAAAAATGAAATTTTTACATTTTTCTTCTGTAATTCAACGTGTAATTTATCATTCTACTGCCGCGAACATTATAAATACTTTGTAAGCATTTTTAACATTTCTTTCTCAATGAAGTGTTATATTCCATGCGAGACACGCTATTCTAAGCTACAATTTCCTCATCCAAGATGATACGTCCATCCTACGTATCATGGGATTAATGAGTCGTTATTTGTCCTTTGTTTTCACAGAAGAAGCAACAGCAGTGGATGGACGAGAATAAGATATACCTGATGCACCATCCCATATATAGGTAAGCTGAATCGCTCGCTTCTCTCATGGGAACATCCTGCGTTATTCTTGAGTACAAGAACAAGTTTAGCTCCTTCCAATTACACAACTTCCGATTAATTCTCTTAATTGAATTACGTATAAATAACTTTTATAATTAAAAAAAAATTTTAACTTATTCCATGCAATAATTTTGTTACATTTTTTTTTTAATTGTTTAAGCTTTTTATTTTGAAATTTTTAAAAATTGGAAAAGAGTAAATTGTAATTTATGCAATTTATTTTTCTTTATTGTTTTTTTACAGGATATTCTATGTCTCTCATGATAGCCACGACTTGAAAATTTTTAGTTATATTGCTCGGGACGGTAGCAGTAATACATTTAAATGCAATGTCTTCAAATCTAGCAAAAAGGTAAGTTTAGAATAAGCAATTTAAATATTTTGTGTGATTACATTTTAGAAAATTTTAAATATTTATATGTATATATATATATGTATGATGTATTTGTATTATACGTCATCAAATTTAAAGCACAAGTTAACACTTACTTCACAAATTTTTTTCTTATTTATCTTGATTAAAACACATTTAAATTACAATATAAAATCGAACAATGAAATGATATAAATTAATCAGAAACATGTGTAAAAATCTTCGTTAATTCTTCAAACTTTCAAAATAAAATAAATTTAAAGAAAAATTGTATTTAAATTAATTTTATAATGATTCAAAACGAAAAACTTTAAGTTTTAAAATATCAGTTGCAGTTAAACTATCGTTTTACACAACGTGAATAGTCATCAAGTCATAATATTATGTGGTACACGTGCAATCTGTATGTCGCCTGGCATTTTATCAAGTCACGTTATTGTAATTCTATAAATAAACGAGCCATCCCTCTCCAGCTCTTTCACACGCGTATACACATACTTTTGCTCTACGACTTTTCTTCTACTTTTTCTTTCATCTTCCTTTTTCTGGCGTTTCAACTCGATAAAGAGCTTCCTCTTTTCGTCTTCTTCCATGTTTCCTTCTCTCGAGCAATCATCATTTAGGTTTCTTCTTATAACTCTTCAGGGCAATTTAAGTGAATAAAGGATGTTACGTTATTTCTTTACCATGGTCTTAATGGATTTGAGTTTTCATAATAGACTTCCGAAGATTAAAGTTGTTGAATGGTCTCTTTAAAGGAAGTAGAATTTAAAACGTCGAATGTAATTAAAATCATCAAAGATGTTGGAGGAAATATAGATTACAAGTGTTTGTATAATAAGGAACTTGTAAAATATTGATACAATACTCTCAGGTTGATAAAAAGATTTTCATATTTATAAAACTACTTGGATTTCTACATCATTTAATTCTTCAAACAATCTTTTTAAGATAATTTTAAAGATTCTCAAAGCGTGTAACAATGCTTTGTAATCATCCAAATATTTTCCTCATCATTTGCAAAATAATTACAATTTTTAAAATTTTTCCAGTATTCTTTTTCAATATTTCCAGTATTTTTTCAATGTATTTTATCTAATATTATTTTTACAAAAACTTCTTTCTAAATCATTAAAACTTTTAACATTTTTCAACGTTAAACTCTTCTGTAGTGAACGCGATTCGTTGCTTGTCAGAGCTATTATTGTCGTTTGGTCAAAGGGACGAGTAGAGTAGAGGAGAGGAGAGGAGAGGAGAGGAGACGAAGTCGCAGAAGGGAGCAGAATGCACCTTCTCTCGGTCGAGATCATGGGCGCCCGGCTTTGGAAGATCGTGTGACGATAAAATTGCTGGTGTAATGCTCCATCCACACTGGCTCGTTTACGGCATATGATAGGTATTACCGGTTTATTATAATAAACGTTGGTTCTGGCTCGTATAATTTTACGTTCACTTAGAATGGATCGCTACAATTAGGATAGGAAAATTATATGGCTGTGATGCATCTTCGTTATTTCGAATTTTCTTATATATTTTTTGTACAGTATTAAAAATATTTCGTTTTGAGTTATATATATATAGCTGATTTCAATGTAGATATATTTAAAATCATTATAACCAAGATTCATTGTTAAGGAATTTTGTTTTAAAAGTTTGAATTATGATATGGTTGAATTGCATTGCGATTTTGTAATATTATATTGGTTTATTATGTTGAATTATAAAATTTAGTTTCTTAAGAAATCGAAGAATTCTTTATTTTTTAAAAAGTATTTATTATATATTAAGAAAGGATTGGTAAAAATTTGAAATTACAAAAACAATATCGTATCAAATATGAAAACTTTAATATCTTTTAAGTTTGATATTTTCAAAGGAGAGAATCACTTTTGCGAAAACTTGTAGATGTATTTTGAAACAAAATACCGTTCTTCTTTCTTTTTAAATGTAGAGATGAATATCTGATCGTATACATAAATTGTGATGTGACGTGGAAAATTCTAAGACATTTCGTATTGAAGTTTTCTTTTTTTTTTTCCTCCTCTTCATCTTCTCCGTCATCATTGTTTTATACGAGTCATGTCATTTTTACGATACGTCTTCTTTCTACTATATACATATTAAAGATGAATTCTTATCTTCTTATCTTCATATTTATTTCAATATATAATCTATTATTATTCTTTTTTCATTTTTATATGCATTTTTAAAAAATTTTTTTCTGACTTTATTTGTAATAAATTTTTGAGGGCTTAGTAAGATAAAATTAAAAGAAAAGTAAAAATTAAGAAAAAAAAAAAGGAAATTAAATAAAAGAATGGAAAGAGAAATAAATCGTAGAAGAAAAGAAATAAATGAAATAAAAGAACTTATTTGATTAAAAAGAATATTATATTATTATTATATATATATATAATGATATTATTGCCGTATAAATTTTGTTGAAAAGAAGAATTCTCGAGCGACATCCGCTTTAATGTTAAAGAACAATATCGTATATCTGAAAGTCAACAGAATAAATTGATTTTGTCACTTTGTTCTTTACCTTATTTTCTTCGTGCATACAAACTACAGGAAAGGAAATTGCAATATTATTTAAATTTTTCTTTCATCGCTTTTAAAACAAAATTATCGAGAGAAGTTCGACAAATTGTAATCACAAAGTCTTGAAAATTATTCGAAGATTACAGTCAAGTCGTTTAAGTGCACTCACAGGGAAAACAAGGAGAAGCTTGATTTCGAGGAAGAACAGCTGAAATTAGACAGGCTGTGTTGGTCAACGAACTGTAACGCCGAACCACTATTGATTTCTTTATGGACAACAGTTGAATATTTCATTCGAGTAAGAGGAAATTAATAAGATGAGAAATCGTTTGACACAAAGTAATCTTGGTTAATTAATGTTGAATAAAAACTATTTGAATATTTGGATGAAAACACGTTCTTCGGTCTTCAAATTTTATATTTTTATTTAATATTATATTATATAATATTATATAATATATATTTATAAAATATTGTATATAATAATATAATATAATATTAAATAAATATTATATTTTATTTCAAATATTTTTGTAAGTGTTAAATAATTATATTATTATTTTAAGAAATAAAAATTCTCGTTTATATGAATAGATATTACATGATTAAACGAAAATATAAAAAGTGATATAATAAAATAATTTATATATTAACTGGATAATTTTTTAAAATAAACATCCAGTTAAATTTTATAATCTTTTCGAAATTATTATATCGTATCATTATAATAATTTCGAAGAGATTATAAAATATATAGAGAATATTTGAAAGCTGTTTAAAGGCTGATTCGTCAATTGGTATGTTTTACGTCATACACGTTATCAAAGTGTTAATTTTAACTTATACAGCATTGGTTTACAGGAGCTCATCGGTAATAAGCCGTTTTAAAAATATTTCTCAGCGAAACTTCTGTATGATTCGTCGATCTCCGATACTGCGTTTGCGCATAAATTCTCGTCTGAAAATATTTTGAATACCAGTGGCGCGTAGTTTAAATTAAACTTTAAATAAAATTATTATTCCTGGTGAATTTGAATTATTCCAGATGATTTTCTTCTACCATTTTATCCAATTTTCACAGATTTTCATTGATATTTTATTTAAATCAATTGATAAAATTTATTATATTTGAATAATATTTTGAACAATATTTTATATGAATATTTACACTTAAAAGAATATCTAGATATGTCATAATGTTTGTATATACTATGCTAGAATATATTTTAAATATCTCAGATAAATCAAGCTACTATTATTTTATTATTTAATTATTATTCTTCGATTTATTATTTCTTTGAAATATATGCACAGAATATTCTGTTATGGTAGAATTATATCTTTATCTACATATAAATTACAATTTTTAGATCGATTGAGTTAATATACAATAAAAAATTAGTATGTAATTACATTTTATAAATTTTATTTCAATAATGAATTAATAATTTGATCTAAAAATTGTAATTTAATTTTATTATAATTTATTTCCAACTTTATTAGATATTTATTTCATTTTTTGTTTGGTTTTTTTTTTCGTTTCAAGCAGAAATTAAAATTTTATATGATTCGTAAATTTAAGAAATGGTAGTCTAGAAATAAAACAAAGACTAGAAATAAAACATAGAATCATGTCGAAGAAATAACTATGTATCATGTGCTAATGTTTAATGTTTCGTGAATATCATACTATAGTTCTTGAGAGAAAAGATCTTTTTCTATTTTTCGAATGATTTTAAAAAATTTCATAGCAGATAAAACTTTCGAATATTCTTTCTCTGATTTTTTTTTTTGGAAAGTTCTTGAATAATTATTATTTATTTAATCTTTATTTTTAAAATTACACGAAAGATGGAAAAAATTAAATATGAGAATAATAGAAATAATAGAATAATATTTGTATATAATATTTATTCTTTTTCTTTTAAAATCCGGAAATGAGTGATCAATCATTCCATCTCTTAATCCGCTGCTTAATACACTGGATTTTAGAGCAAAGATAAAGAATTGAATAAAGATGGTGATTCAGTAATTAAAAAAATTAAATAAATAAAATTGTTAGAGAGATTTCGTTACATTAAAAATGTTATAATAATTTAAAATATTTCAAAAGTTGTTGGACAAATTTATGATGAGTTTACAATCCCTATGCTATATGCATAGTAAGAAAAATGTATATCAGATGTCGCCCCTTGTTCCAAATAAAAATTTTATCATTCAAATAATTCCTTTTCTTTTTCCTTTGTCGTTTTTACATTTTCATCGTCATTAGCACATACATAGTCGTTTCTTCTTTAATATGAGTTTTATGTTAATAATAAAACTTAACCTATCTATATTTATATGTATATTCCAACAAAAATATAAAAAGTGTGATATATATCAGGAACAAATTAAAGAAATTTATTTTATTTTTTATAATCCAAAGTTTATGT